GGCTCCTCACACTGGAGGAAACAGCAGAAGCCTGACTGATACTCTGCTCTGCTGGGGGACATCCTGCGCTGAAGTTAATGGTCATCAACCTGAAGGGTAAGAGGGATCTCTTGTGGTGTTTCTCTCTTTTTTTTTTTGTGAGGAGATCAGCCCTGTGCTAACATCTGCCAATCCTCCTCCTTTTTTTTGCTGAGGAAGACTGGCCCTGGGCTAACATCCGTGCCCATCTTCCTCCACTTTGTATGGGACGCCGCCACAGCATGGCCTGCCAAGCAATGAGTTGGTGTGAGCCCAGGATCCGAACCAGCGAACCCCGGGCCGCCGCAGCGGAGCACGCGCACTTAACCGCTTGCGCCACCGGCCCGGCCCCACAGCTTTGATTTTTTAAGACTTAATGAGAGAATGTTTGGAAAATTCTTGGAGACCTTTATAAATAAAATTTTAAATAACTAATGGAGTAATAATTCTCTTTATTTTGAATAAATATTAGTTTTGACAGATCAGTTTTGCTGGTAGAGATTGTCACTATTAACCTTGTTTATGATTTGATCTTGCTTTATTAAATAAACGTAGCAAAAAATCCAAAAGAAAAGATTTAACGTCTTTTTTGTCCTCTATAAGAATATTGCTGCCAATAGTGTGTTTTAGATGACCCCTTCCCTTTCACAGAAATGTCTCTTGGATGAGGCAAATCAGGTAAATAACCTTAAGCCTTATACTCTGTGACATGTACCTTGCTGCTGAATGACGGGTAAGGGAGGAGGTGCCAGGTGAGACCTGAGTTTCATCCATGTCTACACTCAGCCTGGAGATCCCTAGAGAGCAGCACAGTATAGTGGTCCAGGCTCTGCAGTTGGATTCTGCAGCTTAAATCTCACCCTCCACTTGCTAACCATGTGAGTTTGGACAAGTCATTTAACTTCTCTGTGCCTTCGTACACTCATTTATAAAGCAGAGATAATAATTGTTCCTACTGTATATTGAAATGAGGTTTAAATGAGTTAATATTTGTAAAGTGCTTAGAATGATACCTAACAAATTTTTGAGAACTCTTATGTTATTATCATCAGTATATAGAGACTAGGATCACTTCTCCTTTTTACATACACAACTGACCTTTTGTTTTGAATTCTTTTCTCTTTTGAAGGCAAGTTAAAAAACTTTTAATGGAAGTATAATAATAATACAGGAGTGTTCACATATCCTTACTAAGGATATATTCCAAGGATATATTCATACTATAATATATATTATATATATACTATATACTATATAGAATATACTAAGGATATATTCATACTATATTCATTCATATAGTATGAATTTATACAAATTTAATCACCCAAAGAATCAGTACCCAGATCAAGAAACAGAATGTTACTAACTACTCTTCTCCCCTGTCCCTCTTCCTCTTCACCCCCACCTAAAGGTAACACTTCACCACTATCCTGATTTGTAACAGTGTAGATTAGTTTTGTCAAGGCTGTGTTTGTATCATTTTTTAAAAACTTAGGTTTACCTGAACTGTGTGTGCTTATGTATATGTGAGGCAGCTGTACATTACAATTTTTTTTTTTTAAATCTTAATTTTGTTTTAGATTCATTGGATCCTCTCATATTAGTGTTTCTCGGTTTCTCTTTGGCTACCCTTGAATATTTTCCGGAAGATCTGCTAAAGGCAATTTTCAACATCAAATTCTTAGCCAAATTAGATTCTCAACTTGAACGTATGTATCTACATTTTAATTTAATTATCACTTGTACTTTATATACAAGTTTTAGCTCTATCTATACTGAAGCATTTAAATGAAGTAGTTTTTTTTTCTGTTTATAAAAATATTTCCTGCTTATTGTAGAAAATTTGGAAAACAGAACATTATAAAATAAGAAATAAAAGATTAGTCATAATCTTACCACCAAGTGAAACTACCACTTTTAATGTTTTGGAGTATTTCTTTCTTTTCTGTCTCTCTCCTGCTCTTATGTATATGTTTATATTACTAGATATATTTTAAAACAAAATTTGGATTATTTATATATGTACTTTTATATGTTGCCTTTTGTCATTGAACTATATTTTGAACAATTTTCCATGCTGTTAAATGTTTTTTGATGTGATTTTTTTAGTGTCTGCATAATCTGCCATTATATGGATGTAATAAAATTTATCTCTTAGGTCATTTCCAATTCTTCATTATTATAAATAATGATTGTTACACATGACTCATTGACCTCATCTTTGTTTCCTTAGGATAGGTTCCTAAATGTGGAATATTAAGTCAATGAAAATTCTTTGGTAGTATTTTTAAAAATGTAGTTTTAACGTTAATAATCATAACATTCATTCATAATTAACATAGGCATTGGTCCTAATCATGCCACTGAATGTAATAATTTAAAATATAAAGCATGCGTTTGGAAATACAATGATTTTATAATATGAGAATGAAAGTATCAACCAGTAGGGGGGATAAATGAATGTGAAAAAATGGGTCATCTTTGCTAGGTTCAAGCTATCAAAATCCATCATTTTTTTTTTTTAATTTCAGTTTTATGTTCATCTCTAAACATGAGGGTCCAGTTTCGTCTTATGGAATTAAATAGAGCAGTCTTCTTGGAATGCCCTGAGTATCAGATTCCATGGTTTCATGACCGCTTCTGTCAACAACAGTATAATAAAGGTTTGAGTTTTCTTTGGGTCAGATAGTGAAGTTTAATTCTAAAGTAAATTATTAGGTAGTACATTGTTATTATTGTTAAACCTAACCATGATGCCAGAGTTCCCAGGAGTGCCATGACCTGTTTAATGGAACTATTTTTTAGGTGACATTTGTGTTATAAGAATTTCTTAATATTTAGGACACTAAACCTCTTTTGGTAGAGAGCAAAGAACTTGTACTGAATTTAATGACATTGCATATGGTATTACATCGAAGCTCTTGTTGGAAATATTAATCTTTATTTTTCAGTTTGTAGATTTGGGATGATTTTCACTCAAAAACTGATTAACTTATTTTAAGTGAACTAATTATTTTTATTTTCATAAAGATATTGGCAGCATGAATGGAGCACAACAGCAGATTTATAAAATGTTAGGAGAGGTCCTAGGAGGAATCAATTTTGTAAAAGCCTCGGTTCGTACACCTTATTACCACACAATAGGTAAGTCTTTGATAGGTTCTTAGCTACTTTCAGAAGACCAAACTAATTTAAATAGAATCATCTCATCAATTGGAATTTTAAAAAGTTTTTTTGAATTTTTTCAAGTTATCTTGAAAATTTTCAAACAGACAAAAGTAGAAAGAACAGTACAGTGAATCCTCAAGTTCCCATGGCCAGCTTTGATAACCATTGGCATTTTGCTGTTCTTCAAAAAAATTTTTTTTAAGTTCAGTCTTTCACCACTTCTAAGTAAAACCCAGATTCGTATTCACTGAACATTTCTGGATCTTCAGAAGATTCTGTCCTCTCCACTCGGTGCACTAAAGTCAGGGAAATGACTTCTTATCTCAATTACATTTGTTTTAAGTTCATCTCAAAAACGGAGTTGGATTATCAACCTGGATGAAGATGTCCATAGGTATGTGCTCAACCAAATCTGGTTAAGCTTGTTTCTCAGTGGTCTGGTTGTAGAAGTCATTCAGATTTAGTTGTCGATATATAAAGCTAGCTGATATGTTGGATGGCCATATAAGATTAAAAAAACTTGCACAAGTCAAGTGGTGGGTTTAAATGAAAAGATGAAATTTTAAGAGGATTAACATAAACTTCCTAAATTTAGATTTAGAAAACCTCTGCATACATACAGGATGTTTTAAAGGATTATAAGCTTGATATAAATGAATAATGTAAGTGGTTGCCAAAAATCAAGTACTGTTATAGACTATATTATTAATAACAAGACAGTTGGTAGTCCCACTGTATTCTGTCCTTCAGACACATCTTAGTTCTTTTGTGAGTGTTGCATTTTATGAGAGACAAATAGAGCCTAGAAACAAAGGATCTAGAAATCATGTCTTAGAACTAGAGAGGACTGGGACTGCATAGATTTCAATCCTTAAACAAATTCCTAAACCTCTGAACCTTATTAGTTTCTTTATCTGTAAAATGAGGATAATAATGTCTGCTTAATACGATTAACTGACATATTGCCTGAAAAGCATTTAGCACTGCTGTTGGAACATAGTGAGTGCTCGATAAATTTTATTAAAAAAAAAGGAATGTTAAGTCTGAAAACCAGAAGTCTTATGGGGAGCATAACTGTTTAAAAATGTCTGAAGGATTATTATTTGAAAGAAGACTTGGATATCTCTATCTCAAGTAGAAAAAATGGTAAAAATTAAAGTAAGCAGATTTTTAACTCAGTGTAAGGAGAATTTTATGGAAGACTTATTGAAAAATGATATAATGGGCTGCCTTGTGAAGAAGAAATGTTCAGGCAGAGGCTGGATGATCAGATGATGGTGTGGATGTGTGATTTCTGCACTCGGCAGGAGGCTGAACGAGATAATCATTAATACCCTCCTCTCGCACTACACACACATACTGTCAGTGGTTTGGTTTTATATTAGTCAGGATTAGGTTTGGTTTTCAGTGACAAAAATACACAAATAACAGGAACTTAAAGTTTATTTCCTTCTTCTGTACACAGAAGGTGTCTGGGGCAGGGATGCCAGCTCCACAAACATTAAAGATACAGGATCTTTCTGTTTTATTATAATCTTACCATCCTGAGCATGTAGCTTCCACTTCATGGTCCAAGATGGCTGCTCCTGCTTTCGCCAGCACATCCACAATCCAAGCAGAAGGAGGAGGGGATGAAAAGGAAGGGTGTCCCTTTAAGCACAGTTCCCTAAAGTTGCACATACCATTTTTAATTATACCTCATGGCCACACTTGGCTGCAAGTGAGTTTAGAAAATGTGGTTTTCATTCTGGGTGGCCATGTACCCAACTAAGATTTAGGGACTCTATTGTTAAAAATGAAGGGAAGTATTAGGTATTGGGGGACAACTTGCAGTCTCTCAGAGGGTTGTTTTAAAAGGTAGATACACTCCTGTTTATGTCTCTGTACTGTTTAAAAGATAGATATAATCCTGTAAAAGTAATGCTCACAGAAGGAAATGCACTAAAATATGAATATGAAAATGATCTAGAATCCCATCTCATATAATTTAAAATTACTGAGCACCAACTTTGTGACAGGCACTATGGCTGGTTTATTCCTGTTATTGAATTTTATTCTTTTTGTTTGTTTGTCTTATTAACTAGTCTAGTTTCTTTCAAACTAGAAATAGTATATATCCATTGTAAAACAGTTGGAAAATACAAAAAAGTAAAAAGAAGAAGAAAAAGTTATGTGTAACACATGTAATTAGTATTGAATCTAGGATTTTTATATCCCAAGCCCATTGTATTTCCAATTCATGTTTGTACCTCCCATTGTCAAAAGGCTTATTTTTATGTGAAAATGTATATAAATCATTAAAAATAAGATTTAGTTGGTAATATTTGTATATAAGGATATGCAATAATTAAGACAATAGTACAATTAAGAACTATGGATTAGAAGCATTGCTTAAGGTATTAAACATATACTCACTGAAAAAAAAATCACATGATAGATGCCTATAGAAGACTCAGAAATGACAGATAATAAAAAAGAAGAATCACCCATGATACAATGCTGGTTACTTTTGGAGTCTGTTTTTCTATTCTGACATTTTTAAAACCAAAAAAGGTTTATCTTACAGTGTTTGTAACTTTGTTTATATATTGTGAATATTTTTCTATGCCAACAAATACAATTATACATTATTTTTAGTGAATGCATAATATTTCATTGAATGAGTATGCTATGGTTTATATTTAATCAGTCCTTAAGGGTTTTTGCTGATATGTGCTTCTGTCAAACAATGCTGCAATTTCATGTAACAACAATAATAATTGATACACTTACATATTGCTATTATGTATTAGACACTGTTTTACGTGTTTTATATATATTTATTTATTTTGCCCCATAGGGTATGTAAATTATTCTGTTTTACAGATAAGGAAACTGAGGCCCAGAGACATTATTGTTTGCCCCAGGTTATGTAGCTGGCAAATGGTAGAGCCAGGATTTGACCTAGGCATTCTAGCTCCAGAATTTATTCTCTCAATGAGAGAACTATATTTCATGTTTGATAATTAACTTGAAGATGCTTCAGTGCCCCAGTTTCCCTTATATGTAAAAAGGAGATAATTAGACCTATTCTTTCTTCTTTTTCATTGTTTCTCTTTTCATTTCTTTTCTCTTTTTTTCTTGGTTTAAATACTTTTATGATTTTTGTGTGTGTGTGTGAGGAAGATTGGCCCTGAGCTAACATCTGTGGCCATTCTTCCTCTTTGTGCTGAGGAAGATTGGCCCTGAGCTAACACCCATGCCCATACTCCTCTATTTTGTGTATGTGGGACACTGCCACAGCATGGCTTGGTGAGCAGTGCATAGGTCCCTGCGCGGGATCCAAACCTGTGAACCCTGGGCCGCCAAAGCAAAGCACGCGAACCTAACCACTACGCCACCGGGCTGGCCCCTTATGACTGTTTTATTATGGAAACATTTCAAACATATATAAAAATAGAATAGTATAATGAACCCTCTCCAGTATCAATAATTATCAACACTTACTCACCAGAGTCCCACCTGATCCTTTTCAAGCAAATCACAGATAATATATCAGAATGTATATCTAAAAGGATACATAACCACATTACCATCATTATCACCCCTACCACCATTCGTAATAATTGCTTAACATCATATAGCTTGTCAATGTTCAAATGTCTCAATTGTCTTATATATTTTATTTTACTCTTTGTTAAAATTGGGATCCAAAGATTACATTTGGTTGATTTGTCTGTGTTACCTTTCTCTCTTTTTTCTCCTTACAATTTATTTATTGAAAAAAATTTTTTTTTACATTCTGGACTTTTCCAGTTGCAACCCTGTGGTGTCATTTAACATGCTCCTGCATCCCTTGTTTATTCTGTAAACCAGTAGTTAGATCTAGAGGCTTGATTAGATTCAGGTTAGTGTTTTTGGGGGCCAGACTATTTCATAGGTGGTGGGTACTTCTTATTGCATCATATCAGAAGACACACAATGCTGGTTTTCTTCTTTTTATTATATTAAGATTCATCTGTGGGTTTGTATATTGTCAGCTCATGCATTAGAGAGTTCTCCCATCAGCTTTTCACCTACTGATTTTAGCAGCCATTAAAATTATTGCCTAAATCCATCATTCATTAGGAGTGGCAAAGTAGTGATATTCTATATCTATCATTCCTTCTGCATTTATTAGCTGGAATTTGTCTAAAAAGAACTTTCCCATATCAACTGTTTAGTTACCCTTATGTACAGTTCATACAGGAAAGACAGGATATATGCTTCAGTTTTTTTCTTTACTCGTTTTCAGTGAGTTGGGTTAGGTTCCTCCAAATGTGACCAAGAGATTTAAGGAAATTAAAATAAAACTCTTTAATGTGACTTGGCCTAGCCCAGTGCTAAATGTGGCTCTGTGCTAAATACTATAGTTTAGTAACACTTGCTGGTTGATTTCTATTGATTGATTTTCAAAGAGTGGTGCCATTGGACCAGATCATATAAAATTAGTTGGATAATTAGGGAGGTACATTATTCTTTCATGTGTGTGTATGTATATGTCTATGTATATATGTATATGTATTTAAAATATATGTTAAACTTTTGCCTGTAAGAATTTACCTAATTCTTACTTCCTTATAGATTTTGAGTGTATCTTGGATAAAAGAAAAAAACCTCTTCCTTATGGAAGCCATAATATAACTTTGGGAAAACTGCCAGAAATGCACTGGGGATCAAATACCCAAATAGTTGGATCAAGGCTGCCACCAGGAGCTGAAAGGTAACTTATTTCTTAGTTTGAGATTTTGTTATCTAAACGTTAAATTTGGCATAATGTAATGCACAGTTATCAAGGATTGATTGTAGTAGAATCTGCTCCTCATGTATCTCATGCATTCTCTCTAGGTACCTTTGCTTTACTTGTGCTTTCTGCCTTAATGTCTGTCCTTCACTGTCCAATGCCTAGGAATCTCTAACTGAAGTGCTAACCTTTGAGTTGTCCTCAGCGGAAGTAAACAGTATCTTCTTCTTTGGTGCTCCCATCGCTCTCTACTTTTCTGATAGCACTTAGCCGTTTCCTACACTGCATTATAGTTACTTACTATGTGTACGTCATATGTTCTGTTAGACTATAAGCTATGTCACTTTATCTTTGTATCTCTCACAGTGCCTTACATATGGCAGGTGCATAATAAATATATATATATAGAACAAAGAAACAAATGGATGAAAGCATGAATATATTTACTACAATTTGGTGTGAATTCTAATGAGTAGGCTTATTTGTTATCAATTACTAGTTTAAGTAGAAAAATGACTTGTATACTCATTTATTCATTTGGCTTTTTTTAGTTTATAGAGATGCAACTTTGTTCCTGAAAGGCTTGTAATTATTTAGTTTTTCATTTTCATTTCAGAAGTAAATATTTATTTTTATCTTATGTAGGATTGCTTTGGAATTTTTGGATTCGAGAGCTTTTTGTAGAAACATCCCTCACTTAAAAGGAAAATCTGCTATGAAAAAACGACATTTGGAAATTTTGGGCTATCATGTAATTCAGGTATGAAATACTCATGTAATTCAGCCTCTAAAAATCTCAGTGACACTGGCTGTACATGTGTTTCCTTTTAATGTGAAAGTTCTAGAATTACTTTTTTTTTAACATTAAAAAAAAGTTGGGGGGGCCGGCCTGGTGGTGCAGCGGTTAGGTGTGCGCGTTCCACTTTGGCGGCCTGGGGTTCACAGGTTTGGATCCCGGGTGCGCACCAACGCACCGCTTGTCAAGCCATGCTGTGGCGGCGTCCCACATAAAGTAGGGGAAGATGGGCACAGATGTTAGCCCAGGGCCAGTCTTCCTCAGCAAAAAGAGGAGGATTGGCGATGGATGTTAGCTCAGGGCTGGTCTTCCTCACAAACAAAACAAAACAAAACAAAAAAAGTTGTATTAAAATATCTCTGAAACAGGACGTCCTCCTTTTTTTGAAGAATGGTAAATAAAAAGCATCATTTTTTTATTGTCTCTTGAAGATCTATTTGATTTTTCTGTTTATCTTATGAGAGAGAGGCACTATGGAGATGGATAGAGTTATAAGAGAAAAAGGCTAGTGTATGAATGTAAGATAGGCACAAAGGAAAAAATGTCCATTCTTGGTACTTTGTGAACAGGAGGATGAAAGAAGCTGAGGAACTGAGAGGCAAAAAAAAAAGGTCTTCTAGGCCTTGTCATGAAGAAGGACCCACTTGGCTTCCAAAAAGCATTCAAAGGCTATGCTTATGTAAACTAATTTCATAGGGTTCTTACAGCTCTGCTCAGTATGCTTAGAAGTCTTCCCTGATGCTTTTTGTTGTTGCTTTAAAACTTTCATTCAGACTACATTACTTAATTTACAGATCCCTCATTTTGAATGGAACTCTATGGCACTGTCAACAAAGGATGCTCGGATGGACTACCTGAGAGAACGTATATTTGGAGAAGGCAAATCATGCTTGTAGTTTTTATTTAAAATTAGTTATCATGATGTGTCATATCTGAACTTACTTTAATTAAGTGGCCTGTCTCAATTGAAAAATAATATTGTAGAATTGACTGATTTTAAGGTCAATTGAATACCTATTAAAATAAACAGACATTTTACAATTGAATACTTTCTCTACTAGCTACTTGGGAAATTGTTTAAAATTCTTAAAAGACATGTAGCTTTTAAGAAACTTAAATAGTTTACAGTTCTTTGAGTGCATATTATGTGCCAGAAACTGTTTTAGATGCTGGGCTAGAGAAGTGAATATAGCCTATCTTCCATGAGTGGAGTCAAACAAAATAAATGAATAAAATGTATTATACCTTAGATGATATTAAGGCTATGGAGAAAAATTTGGAGGGGGGTGGAATAGGAATATTGTGGATGGGTCTAATTTTACATAGGGTGATCTGGGAATGGCTGACTGAGATGATATTTGAGTAAAGACTTAAGGAGCTATCTGGGGGTAGAGTACTCCAGGCAGAAGGACCAGTAGGTGCAAAGGTCCTGAGGTGGGAATAGTCCTGGCATGTTGAAAATAACTAGGAATCCAGTGCGGCAGGAGCAGAACAAGTGGGAGGTGGGGGTGGAGGTATAATAAAAGGTAAGATAGATAACGGAGTCAAATGTATATGACCTCATGGCCACCCTGAGTGAGATGAGAGGCCATTGGAGAGTTTCTAGCAAAGGAATAAGAACTCATATTTTAACAGGGTCACTTTTGCTGCTCTGTTGAGATGAGAAAAGACTGCAGTGAGGCAAGCGCTTAAGCAGGGAAACCCATTAGAAGGTCATTGCAATAATCCAGACAAGAAACGGATGGTGGTTTGGAGAGAGTAGTGGCAGTGGAGGTAATGAGAAGCAGTCAGAATTTTCTTATGTATTTTGAAGACACAGGCAACAGAATTTGCTCACTGATTAGATATGAAGTATGAGAGAAAGAGAGGAGTCAAAGATAATTCTAAGTTTTGTCCTGAGCAATTAAAAGGATATCATTGCCATTGACTGAGATGGAGAAGTCCATGGGAAGAGGAAGGTGGGGGCAGGGGAGAGGATCACAAGTTTGGTTTTAGACATGTTGAGTTTGTGATGGCTGTTAAACCTCTAAGTGGAGATATCCAACAGGCAATTCAATAAATGAGTTTGGATGTCAGGGAAAAGGTCCAGGCCTTAGATATAAATTTGGAAGTTATCAGCAGTATTTAATGTGATGAGAGTAGATGAAATCACTAAAATGTGATTAGAGGAGAGTGTGAATGGAAGAGAGGTCTGGGGACTGAGATCCAGGCACCCCAACATGAGGTCAAGAAGAGAAAGAACCAAAAAGGAGACTGGGCAGGGGTGGCCAAGGAGGTAGGAGGAATAATCATAGGACCCAAGTAGAGAAAGCATTCAAGGAGGAGGAGGTAAGCAGTTATATCAGATACTGCTGATGGGTCAGGTAAGATGAGGACTGGGAAATAAATATCCATTAAATTTAGTAACGTGAAAATCATTTGTAACCTTGAAAAGAGTAGTTTTGGTGCCGTGGTGGGTGTGAAAACCTGGCTGGTTCAAGAGAAAGTGGAAGGAGATAGGAATTTTCTTACAAATGGAAGCGAAGAAATGGCGTGGTAGCTAAGGGGGAAGTGGACAATCTCGACCTGGTCTGATCCTACACGTGCTGAGGGAATGATGATTTTCTCTCTGTCTTACAACACATTTATTCAATAAAATAGTTACTAAGGGCCTACTGTGTGATATAATCCCTAGCCCTTCTTCCAAGAATGATATACTTGTACTCAGCAGAAAGCGTTATTGTAACTACCCTCAGGCCACCTGGTGGGGCTGCAGGTAATTGGCCATCTGAAACTTGCCATCTTCTGACTCCATGACCCTCTAATAAGTTGGCAGCCAGAGTGCCTTGAGTCTTAAGAATAGCTTTAAAATGTGTGTCCTGCATGTATTTTGGTCTGTTGATACTTGATTTAGGCTTAGTTGAGTACTTGTTTAATATATCCAATTATTTTGCATGACTTGAGCTCCAGTACTTAATGATTTTGCAAAATGTGAACTTCACAGAACCTTTCGTGAAAAACAAAATCAGAACAGTAAGCAAATGAAAGATGTCTCCTTGTAACCAGTCTCCCTCATTCTGAATTTCCTCATGATATTCATTTCGTATTAGCTGAAATGCCAAATTCCATGTGTTTATTATCTATTTTCATGAATGTGTTCTATTTCCCAAGCAAGTGATTACAAGAATTAAACCCCTGAATAGGTTAAAATATTTTACTATGCAACTTTTAGAATAAAATGATTAGACTGATGAGGGTTATAAAATTATTTCCTTTGGATATAAATGAAAAAACCCAGTTATTGTATACTTTAGATACATGGAAATCGTCATTAAATGACCCTGATGTATACCTTTCACTTATTGTTACACATAATCTGACTTCTCATATACCACATCTCTCTTTCCTTTCTCTAGACTGCCTGATTCAAACAGTTTTCTTTATACATATATTCTTATATTTTTGTTGGACGATTTTTCTGTCTAAATAACTGGGGTTGTTATAAACAAGTGTTCTTTGTTCATTGAGATATAATTTACATACCATAAAATCCACCCTTTTAAAATACACAATTCAGTGGTTTTTAGTATATTCACAAGGTTGTGCAACCATCACCACTATCTAATACCAGAACATTTTCATCATCCCAAAGCATTATTTTTACAACTTAATCTTATGTCTGATTAGTTCAGCACTCTCTTCCCAAAAGTAAGCACTATCTTGCTCTTATAGTAAACACTTCCTCTTACAGTTTTATCACCCAGGTTTGCATCTCTACACACCATAATGTGCCCCCTACACACACCACACACTTTTTAAGTCTGTCTTAATCTACAAGCCTTCCCCTCATCCCTTTCTCAACTTAACGATTTATCTGCTGAACAACCTGTCGAGTTTCCCACCTTCAGGATCTGTTGATTATATACTCATGGTATAGTTCGGAGCAGTACTTCTCTATATAGAAAAGTACTCAGGATTCTACTTCAAAGATCCAAAGTAAAACTGAATTTAGTTGAATGTATTTCCATATTTACGGTAGAGAAAATAAAGCTGTATCAAAATTCATCTGTTCTTTATGCAATTGCTTGACAAGTAATAATAGAATACTCCAAATTAGTTCCAAGTCAGATTTCTCAGAAAATAACATGTATAAGTTTAGAAGTCAAACATGTTTGTGAAAACACGTGTGACTCATAAGTGATGATGGGTTGATGACTTGCAGAGAGCTGAATGTGATGGTTATGGACAGACTGAGGTGTCAACTTACTGTGTACACTAAGAACAAACAGCTTGAATGTAGGGTTTCAGATCCCAGAAAATGAAATTTGCAAATAGGTACCCCTTTGTACCTAGGTACCAGTGAGGGGCTGACCTGGTGGTGCAGTGGTTAAGTTTGGCGTGCTCCACTTTGGTGGCCTGGGGTTGTGGGTTCAGATCCTGGGCACAACCTACACCGTTCATCAAGCCATGCTGTGGCAGTGACCCACATACAAAATAGAGGAAGATAGGCACAGATGTTAGCTCTGGGCTAATCTTCCTCAAGCAAAAAGATGAAGATTGGCAACAGGTGTTAGCTCAGGGCTAATTTTCCTCACCAAAAAAAAAACAAAAAAACAATGAATACACACCCTCACCATACTACCTACTGGCCCCAACTTCCCCCCCAGTAGTTTAAAGAATCAATCCATTTCCTAAGGACGTTCCCCCACCCTCCTACCACAGATACTGTAGATAATGGCTTGAAGACTGTGATTTACTGGTTTTTTAATTTTTTTAAATTTTTTTAAAAGATTTTATTTATTTATCCCCCCCCCCCCAAAGCCCCAGTAGATAGTTGTACGTCATAGCTGCACATCCTTCTAGTTGCTGTATGTGGGACGCGGCCTCAGCATGGCCAGAGAAGCAGTGCGTCGGTGCGCGCCTGGGATCCGAACCCGGGCCGCCAGCAGCGAAGCGCGCGCACCTAACCGCTAAGCCACGGGGCCGGCCCCTTACTGGTTTTAAATTAAAAAAATTTTTGATTTAAATCACAAACAATATACCAGTTTTGCAAAAAGAATGGAGAAAAATCACTTGAATTTGACTACTTAGAGACTTCTCCCCTTCAAATGAGACCCATTTATTATACTTCTCAAATAGTATTTCCAAAATTTTCTCATGGCATGTAATCTTTAACATAATGCACAGGATTCGTGTTATATCTTGAAGCACAAAGGAAGGTTTTTGATATTTTAAACATTTAAAAAATGTAGATATACATATTTCATTCTCCAATTTCATTTGTAATAGAAAACAAGTGTAAAGTACCCTAACAATGCAAATGAAAGGATTAGTAAACAACTCAAATTTAGGAACCTCCTTTACAATCGAGACAGAGTAACAAAAGAAATAATCTGTTCAACTTAATATTTAATTTCTTATTAGAAAATGGTTTTAAGCTCTGATCATTACACTGAAGATTCAGTGATTTTGAGGTTTTGATACCCACTGCTAATCTCTCAGACAAGAACTTAGTGAATAACTTCTACATGAATCTCTGTATTCACTTTTAAAAAACAGGATAAATTAAAGCCCTATTATCCAAACAAATCGCCTCCTAATCTATTACATTTTTCCACCTTCTTGTTTATAGTTTAGACAGTTTGAAGAGATTTAAACGTGTTGCTAGGCAACTAGCTCCTGAAGCATAACGTATTTCCTTCAACATCCCAGCCCATTCTTTTTTATCATCTTCATACCTGATGGAGAAAAAAAAGTAATCAATAAGCAGTTTTTCAATAGATTTCCCTGTGTTAAATATACATATGTGGATCTTTGAGAAAACTCTACTGGCTCTTACCCGGAGGAGGATGAGCCTGACTAGTAGAATAACACTTGAATTCCTCCCAAAATATACATTCTTTGAATGAGCATATGCCCAAACTACTGCCATGGTGTTTAATCTAGATGCTTAGGCAGTTAAGCCTTCTCTAGGAATCAAAGGCTGTCCAGAGATGAGGAGTAATAGACAGTTAAGCAATTTATCATTCACCTTTGGACTGATAAAGATGTCTGGTTTCTATGAGTCAAGGTCAGCAGACCTTTACCTTAAAAGTGAGAACTGGGAAGAGGAGGGACTAGTTGCCTTAATTATGATTTCACCTGTTCCCAGC